CCCTCGCAAAATGATGACGGAGAGATTTCAAGGCGCGATGAACCCACATTATTTTTCCGACAGACTGATATAAAACAACTATGAGTCTGTCGGGAAAATAATGTGGATGTTGTCGCGCCTTGGAACCAAGTCATCGTACCTGGTTCCAAGCGACGAATCCACATTATTTTCCCGACAGACTGATAATTTGTATATTCTAGGTCCAAGCTTTTTATGGCCAGAAAAAAGTCGGTTTTTTTTTGGTTTTAGAAAAGCTATTTTTACATATTAGTCAATGTATTTGCTGAGGACTTCCATGTTGACTTGCCCACTGGCTTGATGTAGCTTTTGAATAAAAGAATTTTGTTGTTGAATTGTAAAAAAAAAGATAACTGGCAATCTGGCTGATTTCCTGAAAAAGTTTAGTTGTCATCGCATGATAAATCTAACGATAAAATGGTGTTTTAAAGTGCATATTCATGGCGCTGGAACGGAGGGACTTTGAGAACAACGATTTGGGGATTAGGGTTCAAAAAGATTATTCAAATTCCCAGCCGCTCTGCGGTCATAAGCTCCGCTTAGCACCATATTTACTATTCTATTTACCATCCTATACATTTACAATGCCACAAATCCCCGCAATCTCCCATCCATTATAATATAATAAAGCGCGGCGCCGAACAATATGGGATTCGTAAAGCGACTCCGTTTGGCCCCACCGAAACCGAATCCGCTTTCGGCCGCGTTTTTTATGCTCATTTTTGGAACGAAATTCAAGGAAGAACCGAAAAAAAAGCTTCGAAAATTTGAGGAATGGGAGTTGTGGGGGCTCTTATCATCGACATAAAATTCTCCCTTCGGTTTTTGGTAATAAAACTAGTATAATTTAATAAGAGGATTAGATTGAGCGAAAATGTGGAGAGCGGTTCTTGCGGAGCATTTGGAGACTACACAATTTATCGTACCAAGTTTTGGAAAATGAGGCCTTGAAATTGAAGTTGCAAAAAATCTGAACTACAGTGAGGGACCGGATCCAATGGCAAAAAACGTCTCATTTTGCATCCCGGAAGGGACCAAAATGTCTCCAAACCCTTCCCTTCTCTAAGTTAAAAAACCCCGCTTTGAAGAGCCCGCCTTGAAGGAAAGGGCGCGCTTTTCAAAGCGGAGTGTTTTAGCTTAGAGAAGGGAATGGTTTGGAGTCTTTTTGGTCTTTTCCGGGATGCTGATTGAGACTTTTTTTGCCATTGGATCAGGTCCCTCGCTGTAGTTGCGGAAAAAAGTCCTGGGAATTTTCTGCGACTCTGCACAACCCAAAAAAAAATTTCGGGTTCAAGCTCCAGCGGCTTCGCGAACGGACTAGTAAAGGGTATTTTTGCATAATCTGATTAAAATCTATGAGGTTCTCTTGAAGAAATTACAGTGAGTGACCTGATCCAATGGCAAAAAACATCTCCTTTTGCATCCCGGAAGGGACCAAAATGACTCCAAACCATTCCCTTCTCTAAGCTAAAAAACTCCGCTTTGAAAAGCGCGCTCTTTCCTTCAAGGCGGGCTCTTCAAAGCGGGCTTTTTTAGCTTACAAGTTAGAGAAGAGAAGGGTTTGGAGACATTTTGGTCCCTTCCGGGGTGCAAAATGAGACGTTTTTTGCCATTGGATCCGGTCCCTCACTGTAATAAGTTTTGTCCATGAAAATATGGAGAGCCTGAGAGTTACAGATAATTTTTGCTCATTTTTCGCTTTGTGCCACTTCAATTTTAATTACTCCCGATGAAAGGTGTTGCGGTCAGTCTGTCGGGAAATAATGAACCAAATTAAGGTTTGCTGCCCCCATCGCATCGCTGAGGTAAAAAGCAATTTGATTTTGCCCCGACACAATTCATTTTCTCGCCGGCGATTCGATTTTCGCTTCGGCAGAGTGCTCATTATTTTCCCGACAGACTGATTGAAGTTCGGTCCAAATTTAGAACACTTTTTACAAACGGCCTTTCTAATGTGTCCCGAACTCGGGTAAACAACGGTTCGGGTGAACAAAACATCTTTTTCAGAAGTGCATAGACTTTTTCGCCTTTTATTGCCGTCGCACAGTGCACTTTCATCTCTTCCTTATTTGTCGCATACGATTTCTTGGGACCCTCGATGACACTTGGAGAAAATTCAGAAAAAACATTCAATATCAGTCTGTCGGGAAAATAATGAGCACTCTGTCGCATCGCATTGCCGGCGAGAAAATGAATTGTGTCGCGACAAAAACCAATTTCTTTTCTTTAGCGACGCGATCGACGTAGCGGCATTGTGCTCATTATTTGCCGGACAAAGTCTACGCATTTTGAAAAAGCCTAGTGCCAAGTCTAAGCCTACAAACCCCCAAACATCAGGCTAATCTCCTTGTTCATCAACCGTCTATTTTCGGCCATCATTCCTCGCCAAAAAGCCCATGAATTCGGCCTCGCTTCAATGGCCCCCACTACTCCTGGCCATAGTTTTTTACTTTTTTTCTGGAAATGAAATTAATTGAATCAACCGAAACCGCCGGCGGGCAAATTCGTAGGCTTTTTGGGGGCATTTAAAATTCGGCGAAAAAATGCTTGAAAAACGAATGGCTAATGCGATACGAAACTATAAAGTTCCTGGTGTACAACCAACGCAATTAGGCACCTGAGGTCCGAAAGCGGGGGGTTTTGGTGGGGGGATCGGGTTACAGGTCCAATTGTATGCCCTTTCTACAACAAATGAATACGAAATCATGGTCAAGCATGGCGTAATGTCGCGGAAATGTTGAGTTGAACAGACAAGAAGGTCAAAACAGAGAGTAAACAGAGTAAAACTTCCTGTAAAACAAACTCTGTTTATAACCAGAAATTGCCACGGCTCTGGAGCCGGAAATTTTAGGTCCGGCTCCCAAGTCAAAAGCCGGAGCCAGGCTTCTCAGCATTCAGAAAAGTAAAAAATTCATGATCTTGGTAAACGAATTGCTTGAAAAATACTGGAAAGAACTGTAATTGTTCATAATGTTATTAATTATCTTCAAGATCATGTCATCGCTTTCTATTAAAGCCACCAAGAGCAGAGATTGCCACGGTCAAAATTCCGGCTCCGGCTCTTAGCTCCCAGAGCCGGAGCCGAGGCCAAATTTGCTGCTCCGGCTCTTGGCTCCGTGCAAAATTTAAAAAGGCCTCCGGCTCCGAATCCCGGCTCCTACGCAAAATGTTTTTTAAAAATATTTTTCCAAAAATAAAAGTTATTAGCGCCAGAGATCATACAGCCAACGTTTTTGCAGTGAAGTCACATCCTCCGCAGTGTTTTTCAAGCAATTTGGTTTAACAAGATCACGAAATTTTTACTTTTCTGACCGCTGGGAAGTTTGGCTCCGACTTTGGGCTCGGGAGCCGGAGCCGACCCCAAAATTTCCGGCTCCGGCTCCCGGCTTGGAGCCGCTCAGAGCCAAGAGCCGGCTCCGCCGTGGCAATCTCTGACCAAGAGTCAATTTTAGGAATGAAGAATCTGTACAACAAACCCCTTCCATAACAAATAAACTTTTGGTTTCCTCGCGATTCGTTGCACAGAGGCTTGAGTTGACTCCTCGGACCTCTAAAATTGTTTTGCAATCGGAAGGTTTCGTTGTGCAGGGATTTCACTTACTGAGGAGTTACTCGCGTAGGTATACTTCCAAAGTTTTTACGCTCAGAACTTTTCTTTGCGTCATAAAATCAGCAAGACAGTCAAGTTCATCATCGCATAAATGCCCTCAGAGTAAGAAGGCATAAATCATGGGCTTCATTCCTTTTTTCTCGTCAATCGTTGCGGCAGAACTCTACCCCTTTTCTGAACTCTACCCCAATCTGAACTTTACCCCTTTTTCAACTCCACCCCAAAAAAGGCTGAACTCTACCCCTTTTTTGATTTCCGCCAAAAAATCTGAACTCTACCCCTTTTTGAACACTACCCCATTTTGAAAATTGAAAAAATAAGGTGTGACATCTTATACGATGAAAATTTTTTTCGAATTGAGAAAAATCAGGTGTGACATGTTATACGATGAAAATTTTTTTCAAATTGAGAATAATAAGGTGTGACATCTTATACGATGAAATTTTTTTCAAATTGAGAAAAATCAGGTGTGACATGTTATACGATGAAAATTTTTTTCAAATTGAAAAGAATAAGGTGTGACATCTTATACGATGAAAAATTTTTTTCAAATTGAGAAAAATGAGGTATGACACGTTATACGATGAAAATTCTTATTTTTCTCAATTTAAAATAAATTTTTATCGTATAAGTTGTCACATCTTATTTTTCTCAATTTGAAAAAAATTTTCATCGTATAAGACGTCACACCTAATTTTTCTCTATTTGAAAAAAATTTTCATCGTATAAGATGTCACACCTAATTTTTTCAATTTTCAAAATGAGGGGTAGTGTTCAAAAAGGGGTAAAGTTCATTCAAGTTTCTACTGCAGAGAGAAATGTTTCCACAAAAAATCAAATTTTTCCGCGCGAAACTGACAAAGAAACGGCCAAAAACCGTTTTTTCTCTGATCCCTCTCCGCGTTTCGGGTGCTCTCTCGGCTGATCGTTCAATATCTCGGTTGTGCCTGGAAATCACGTGCTAAAATTTTCAGTAATTGATATTTGACCTATGATCAATGTGTGTGCAAAAGTTACAGGAAATCCGAAGCTCGCCCTCCGGGCATTTTCCTTGCAAAACCAAAAAAAATTTTTTTCCAAAACTTCTGCGCAATTTTACCGGCAATAAAACCAAAGCTCCAAGCTTATTTCTTCTCATGTTACATCAAATTTATTTCATTAACAACAAAAACAACACGTTTTGAACGATATACTCGATCCAGTTCACTACCCACCTAGTACAATATAAATTTCTTCTGAAAAATCAAGCTCCACTAAAAAATTTGCATTCACTTTGAAGCAAACACAATTAAAGTACAACAATCGAGTCCATTTCATCAAAAATCTTTAAGAAAATTCAAGTTTTCAGATCAAAATTATATTCTCCTTGGTATTATTCGTCCAGGCCTTCGATATTATGGGGTACATGCAAATACTTGACGAACGGTTTTTTCGGGCGATAGGATCCCCTCTGAAAAGCTCTTCTTTCCATCTGGGACCAGCGACATTGCGGGTCGGCTCCGTTTTCCATCGGCTTTTGGGGATCGTAGTTGTTGTTGTACCTTTGAAAATTCGTCCGGTCGCTGTGACAAATCGGGCTTCTGGGTGGCTCCTGATCGCCACTTCCTCTTCCTTGATTCATTTCCGACAGTCTTCGCGGTCGATAATCCTCATTTCTTTGGGGATTCTCCAAGTTTCTCTGGTTCTGACACTCTTGTTGTTTATTTGCAATGCCGCCATTTCCCGCGTTATGATTCTCCGCTCTCCAGTTGGCCACATTGCTTCTTCCGTAATTTTCGTGGCGTTGCGGAGCTCTCCAATCTAAATTCAGAACAAAAAATAAAATTTTTTTTTTTTCAAATTTACCTCGACTTTCCGCATTTCGATTGCAATATCCATTACTTAGCGCGTCAGAACGTTGATATCCTCTTGGCTCGGGACTCCGCGGACCTTGATTTTCCTTGTTCATTTGATCATTGGGGCTTTCTACAAAAAAAAATACCAATTTTTGGCAATTTATATTGTTCATGAGGAATTGGGACGATCGGAGAAACCAAAAAGTATTGTTTTTCTTCGATGCAAGTGTGAAAATAGGATAATCGAGGGTGCTGACTTCGAAAATGACATTCAATTTTTTGAAAAGGAAACTACCTCTATGAGGTATGGGGTTACAGGTCGAGACATATATCAAAAAACTCGCAAAATTTTTCTGATTCAGAACATGTAAAAATTAGCTGTCTAATTTTGGTTTATAAGGGTGAAAAAGTCCTCGGGACTTTTCTTCTTCCTCCAGCACCACGAAAATGCCTTCTTGACCAGGTTTTTAACAAATCAAGAGCTTGTTTTTGAGCTAAGGTAAACCCAGGTATCTTGACAAGGCTTAAAATATCAAATTTGATGAATACTACACCTTAATTAGTAGTTCCAATATAAAAAGGGGCATTTGCGAATTAAATTTGATATTTTAAGGCTTGTCAAGATACCAGGGTTTACTTTAGCTCAAAAACAAGCTCTTGATTTGATAAAAACCTGGTCAAAAAGACATTTTCGTGGTGCTGGAAGAAGAAGAAAAGTTCAGAAGATTTTTTCACCCTTACAAACCAAAATTAGACAGCGAATTTTTTCATATTTTGAATCAGAAAAATTTTGCGAATTTTTTGATATATGTCTCGACCTGTAACTCTATACCCCATAGAAGTACCTTCCTTGTGATATTTACCTTTTCCCCTCGATTTGAGGTTTTCGGTGGTGCTGCTTTCAAATCAGAAAAAATGAGTAAGATTTTCGAAATCAGCACCATCGAAATCCCCCAAATCGAGTATTTATAAAAAAAAGTTCAAAAAATTACTACTTTACAGTACTACTTAAGGAAAAAAAGTAACTATCAAAAAATGAATGTCATTTTCGAAATCAGCACCCTCGATTATCCTATTTTCACACTTGGATCGAAGAAAAGTAATACTTTTTGGTTTCCCCAATCGTCCCAATTCCTCATGAACAATATAATTGCCAAAAATTGGTATTTTTTTGTAGAAAGTCCCTTTTTCCCCAATCACAACCGTCACAGTTAAAAAAAAATTTTTTAACAATTTATATTATCCATGACCAACTCATACCTTGAGGTAAAAACCGATCTCTCCCTTGTCGCTGTTGGTCGCCATGGCCATTCCGGCCCATTTTACAGCTTTCCACATCCATTGCAGACCCGTTTCTGCACGCTTTCACCTCCTGCTGAACGGGGCTGACCATTTTCTGATCGCTGATATTCCCCATGACGAAATTTCTTCTTGCTTCGTCCAATTCGTGTCTAACCGTCTGAACATAAAACGAATCGTCCCTAGTGTTCTTCCGAACGTCTCTGGAGGCCGGTTTCACCCAATCGTATTCGACTTTTCGGTTCTCTTGTCGTTGAATGATGGACGCCTTGGACGAAACTCCCATAATCGAGGCATGAATGCTGGCCTGGGTGGCGGGGAATGGTGGGGAACTATCTTCCACACTCACCACCTTCTTCCTATCCTGTAGAACATGGTCCTCGATGAATTCTGCGACCTGTCTTTCCCTCTCCTCTAAATCAATACCTTCGTTCTCCAGCAGCCATCGTAGGGCTTCCTGAAGAAAAATTCAATTACGAGCATCACCAACACACCCCACTTCTCATTTCCACGTCATGAATTCCTAAAATTCCAACAAAAAATTCAAAACACCTACATTAATATGCCTCTTGATGACGTCGTAGCGCAGTTCATGTTCGTAGGTGCATTGCTGAATGTAGTGGGCAATGTGGAACAACGGAATCGGGGTGAATTTCGTGAATTTGTCAAACTTAAAAATGGGTTTTGCCTTGATTGTGGCGAGCATTCGGTCATTTTCGTCGCCCTTCCAGGGCAAGTCGCCCTCCATCATTTCGACAACACCGAACAGCAGTGAGCACATGTCGTCACAAGGTCCTTGATCGTAGCGGAGATGGACGCGCTTGGAGCAATAACGAGAAGTTCCTAAAATGAAACAAAAAATCATGGATAACATACCTAAATCAAGGTAAAAGTTGTCAAAAAGCAAAGAAATTCTCCAAAAAATCCCCACCTCTGAACGGGACATTATCTCTTCTCTCGATTAATTTCCCATCCAGTGTTCGAAACCTCCTGGACATTCCAAAATCAATCAAAAAAACCTTGGTTCTTTCATCTGGTAGACGGCCAAGACAAAAGTTCGATGGCTTGATATCCCGATGCACATAGCCGAGGGTGTGGATTTCTTGCAGCGTCTCCACCAGCTGATAGAACACACCCAACGCAAATTTCACCGGGAATCGAAGATCTGGCGCGAACTTGCGCAACTCGAACAAATTGTCCGAGTAGACGGGTAGGACCAGGAAACAAAGCTCGTTGGTGTAGCCACTGTCAATCTAAAGCCAGAAAAATGAAAAACAAACATAACTTACGAGGTTCGGAACATGTTTGCAAGACGTCAGGTCCAACAGCACCATTCTTTCTGTGTTTATTTGTGAATGTCGATCGCGAGGTTCAACTTTAACCGCAACGTACTGCTTGGTTACCTAAAATACATATAATATTAGGCAACACAGCATAAAATCAAAGGCAAACAAAATACCAGCTTTTGGCAGCATTAATTGCCTATGAACATCGAGATATTTTTGATTTTTCCGAATAAATTATATTATTCATTATCAATTAGATAAAAAATGTTAATTCTAGCTTATTCTCAAGTAAATCTTCAATATAAAACCTTCAAAATCCCTGTAGTATCATTGCTTGTACCTTGACTGTCTAAAATCCAACAAAACAACAAGTTCTTACCATATCTTTGGCCTGAAAGACCTGCCCAAACCCTCCTCTTCCCAAGATAGTGTCGATCTTATATCGGCCGTCCAGCATCTCTCCATCTTTCAGATATGGCGGTGCATCAAGGCCCCTGGGAATCTCAGGCTTCTTGTGATAATAATACGGCTGAAAAAAAAGAGAAAATTATATTGTAGTACAGGTCTGAAAAATTTCGATCAATTTTCAGGATTCAAAGCTAATTCAGCAAAATAAACGGCAGTATGAAAGAAAAATGGGTTCAAATCACCTAACAGAACCATACTAAACCAACCATCTCCAATTTTAACAGCTATATTATCCATGATTAAAAAAGTACCTAAAATAACGTAATTTTGGAAGATTCTCAAAAATAAAGGTCGGAATTGCTATGAGAGGCCTTGTGAAAATGCCAGAAGCCCTCACGCCACCTCTAGTGTGATATTACCCATTCTTACCCGATCTTTTTTCGGTCCAAACGCCATTTTGGAGGAGCGGAATGGTGATCAACAACCGAGTGGGTGAAAATCCGAAAAAAAGAGTTTTGGAAACTCAAAACAAATGTTGAAAGTCAATGTCGATTGGTCGACATGAAGCTGCCAAATTTACCGAAAAACTGTCGAAATTTCGGTGCTTGAAACATAATGCCAATGGAGCAAATTTGACGGGATTTTTAAACATAAAATAATACTTTTTTTTACGATTTTGAGCCAAAAAAGGGATTTTTTCGATAAATTCTCTTTTTATGTAATGGATCAAGTAATTTTTTATGTAAGAATATCACTTTAAAATCGCGATTTCATCAAAAAATCAAGAAAAAACTCTATTTTTTTTAATATCTAATGGGAAATTCATATTTTACTTCCAAAAGATCCCGTCTTTTCAGCCAATCGCCGTTTTCTGGAAGGACAATGTTGATGGGAATGGATGCTCATGTCATGTTTGTGTGAATCTCCTCTTGACGCTCTTTTTTTGGCAAGTTTTCTGGGCTTGATTTTATTTAATAATGACGTCATTTTTTAGCATTCCCGGCCTTCTCCATGCCGCTTGGTACTGCTTCTGTCGAGGATAAAATACGTCGTTTCTTAAGTTTTTTTTTAATTTCAGTAAAAGTAATCAAGATGGGGACGACATGGAATACTGACTTTAGATGGCCGATCAAACAAAAACGCACATAAAAATATTTATTTTAATTTTCTTACAAAAAAATGGAATGTTTTCGGGTCTTTCTAGTATTCATCATACGACTTGAACGTGCCCACCAACTTGGCATCACGATTTGGAAAACGCACAGGAGAATGGAGCTCGTCCGACGATACGATCTGAAAGTTTTTCAAAATATAAAATGCGCTTAAAAACCAATTCGCAGGTAAAAAAATTAAATTCCACATACCGTGAAGTAATAGCTGATGAGGCCCGCGGCCACGTTTTCCATCTCCAGGTCATCCGTGTAGAGGCCCCTCATGAGACACAAGGTCGCAGCCTCCTTGATGTCGTAGAATTCTTCGGGGATCGCGTTCTCGTCGGTACACTCTAACTTGACCTTCGTGACTTCCTCAATTTTTTTCATTCCCGCCCAAGGCAGAGGAGCCATCATGCCCAATACCATGTAGAGAAGGCTCTCCGTGTCCTCCGACTTCAACGCCTTCTTCGCGTGGATGTGAGTGGTTGCCGTTTCGGGGATTGGATAGAACGCCGCACTGCAGGATGAGCCAAGTCTTTCTCCTTGGGTGGTCAAGTCTCCCTCTCAAATTTTTATTTTTTCAAGATTAATATAAATGTCTTTATGTTTTAATCTACATATATGGACAGGACAATAACTCAAAAAGTAAGTTAAATTATCTCTCTTTCTGACTATACAAAACTTTTTTCGATTACATATTGTTATTATTGCGCATTTAGGCATTATAGAAGGTGCATAAATTTAGGTAAATGCTGTTCGTTCTTGACATTAGACGAACAACATTCGAAAGTCTTACCCCAAAAAAGAACTGCCGTCGAGCCTTCTTCGTGCCAAAATTATTTCAGCATGAAAATGATCTACAGTTTTTTTGTTGATTCGATTTTTGATATTACACTAGGTACTTTTGTAAGTTTAAGGCGAGATTAGGTCACGTTTTACGTCATATAAGGTCTAAATGGACAATAAAACTTTCTTTTAACATTCTTAACGTCGTAACAGTGATTTCCCCCTTTTATTGTCGTTTTTGATTTTTTTTCAGATTTTAGGTATGGAACAATTTTTATGTATCCGCGGCCATAGATGCGTATTAATACTTCGCAAACCATATTTCAAAGGTCCCTGGTCGATCTAAAACATGTTTAAAACAGTATGAGAGGTATTTGAGACTTTTTTAGATCCAGGTTTTAATTGATCACTTACACCCTAAGACATCTCAAACCCTGGTTTGAAAGAATATTTATGTTGGTGACGGTTTAGTAATGGCTCAGCTTTGTAGTTTTCCGGGTTTAAACTTCAAAAACATTAGATTTTGCCTGCAACTTGACAAAAGTACCTAGTGTAATATCAAAAATCGAATCAACAAAAAAACTGTAGATCATTTTCATGCTGAAATAATTTTGGCACGAAGAAGGCTCGACGGCAGTTCTTTTTTGGGGTAAGACTTTCGAATGTTGTTCGTCTAATGTCAAGAACGAACAGCATTTACCTAAATTTATGCACCTTCTATAATGCCTAAATGCACAATAATAACAATATGTAATCGAAAAAAGTTTTGTATAGTCAGAAAGAGAGATAATTTAACTTACTTTTTGAGTTATTGTCCTGTCCATATATGTAGATTAAAACATAAAGACATTTATATTAATCTTGAAAAAATAAAAATTTGAGAGGGAGACTTGACCACCCAAGGAGAAAGACTTGGCTCATCCTGCAGTGCGCCGCACGTCAAGAAAAAATAAAAGAAAAACGGGCGCCCAATGAAAAAGCCTAGAATTTTTTTTGGCATTCTGCCCTGTGCAAATCCGTTTTTGTCCAAATGGTTTGCAATATTTAGACATAAAGATTAATAGTAAATCACAAGATATTGATATCAATAGAAAGCTCGAGAGCTGCTTAAGCTAATAGAACCAAAATATACCCATAATCGTAGTATTTTGACAGTTTTCCATGGCGAAGAATACAACGTCTAAATAAAAGTTTGTATCGACGATACCGACTCAGAGAGCACTGGAAGGAGGTATAGGCTCCACGTCAAAAAAATCCTTAAACTGTTCTTCGAGTATCTACACCGGTCCCGTCCCGCTTGATGGGACAGTTTTTTTGATATTTGGCCTTGAAATTTGCACTATTTTTAGCCTAGCTCGAACCATGTTCAGAAAATGCGTCACGATGACACCCATTTAGAATGTACCAGCGGTATAAAAAACAGTTGTATACGACTAGTAGTACTCCCTAGAGTTCCCATAAAAAAAATTAGGTTAAAAGTTGTTGTTATGTGCAATTTGGATGACAGGTTTTATGATTTTTTTTTCGCTGTGAGAACCTTTGCAATGCCCGCAATTTCTTGACGTGCGCCGAGCGTTCCGAGCCGATTCTGATTGCATATCCGAGGTCAGTAATGACAAACTGCAAGAAAATAAAATTTGCGCCAAGGAACATAGTGTTGTAAAATCTCTATCATATTTTTATATCAAGAAATCGATATTGAAGCCATGAAAATTGCCCCATTTGTGTCAAATAAATGGGCGGCCGGGCCCGGTGATAAAAAAAATATATGGTAAAAAAAATTTATTACTAAACCAGAAAAATAAAGCAAAAATGCTTTGCAGAATTGATGGATAGATATTAAATTAAACCTTTTTGACCTATATGCTGTTTTACTACCCTTTAAAACTGTTTAAAATCCTTGGCTAGGTTTTAGGGAAAATACAAACTCAACATGCACTCACCCGATACGTATCCCGGTCTTTCTTGACGTAGAATGCGCTCTCCTTGATGTACCGATGGCAAATCCCGTACTTGATCAGCGCTTTGGTGCAGTAAAGCAACTGGAAGAAGAGTTTTTGCGCCTCGAACGGAGCCATGAGTTGTCCTTGGCGCATCTCGCGAACGCTTGGGCCATAATTTTCGACCCGCATGCAGTAGACGCCCTCAGAGAAGTGGCAGCAGCTCAGCATGCCGCCAATGTAGATGAAGCTGAAAAAAAAAGGTTTTGGTCTGATTCCAACTTACTTTTTGTCTGGGCTCTTGGAATTCTTCTCCACCAGCTGGTAGACGCCGCTCTCGCAGGCGAGCGGTTGCTTGTATTTGGGGCCGAGGCTTGCCTCCAACTTGTACCAGTACGATGTCCCCTTGTAGTCATATTCGTAAAATGCCCCGAATTGGCCTTCGGCGACCATCCGCTTCACCTCGACATTATCGATAATTCTCTGAAAAAAAGCTCATCATTATGCACATCGGGCAATACACTTTGTGCCCTCTTATTTGCTGAACTCTACCCTCTAATCGTCCGCCTTTCCCCTCTAATTTGTGAATGGCGCCCTCTAATATAGATGCCCTCTAATCGAAACTGAACTGTGCCCTCTGAAAAACTGAATCGACGCCCTCTGATTTGATTTTCCCAAAATGGTATTGTTTCCTTACATAGTAGTGTAAGAATGCAGAGTAGTAGTGTTAAGTAGTAATTTTTGAAAATTTAGGGTGAGGTATCGATTCATAGGTAATTTGGGGTGCTGAATTCGAAAATGACATTCATTTTTTATGATTGTAACTTTTTTCTTAAATAGTAGTGTTAAGTAGTAATTTTTGAAAATTTTAGTTGAGCTATCGATTCATAGGTAATTTGGGGCGCTGAATTCGAAAATGACATTCATTTTTTATGATTGTAACTTTTTTCTTAAATAGTAGTGTTAAGTAGTAATTTTTGAAAATTTTGGTTGAGCTATCGATTCATAGGTAATTTGGGGTGCTGAATTCGAAAATGACATTCATTTTTTATGATTGTAACTTTTTTCTTAAATAGTAGTGTTAATTAGTAATTTTGGAAAATTTTGGTTGAGCTATCGATTCATAGGTAATTTGGGGTGCTGAATTCGAAAATGACATTCATTTTTTATGATTGTAACTTTTTTCTTAAATAGTAGTGTTAAGTAGTAATTTTTGAAAATTTTGGTTGAGCTATCGATTCATAGGTAATTTGGGGTGCTGAATTCGAAAATGACATTCATTTTTTATGATTGTAACTTTTTTCTTAAATAGTAGTGTTAAGTAGTAATTTTTGAAAATTTTGGTTGAGCTATCGATTCATAGGTAATTTGGGGTGCTGAATTCGAAAATGACATTCATTTTTGGGAAAAATATTTTCGCCCAGAATTAAAAATATTTTTCCCCAGAAAAGAGCATTATAGAAAAACTCCTATTTTCTCCCAGAAAAAATATATTTTCTCCCAGAAAGAAAATATTTTTCCCCAGAAAAGAGAATTTTGAAAAAAATGCTATTTTCTCCCAGAAAAGAAAATATTTTCTCCCAGAAAGTATAATTTTGTAAAAATAAAGCACGGAAGTAGTAAAAATTGATGAATAAGTAACTTTACTAGTAAAATAAATTAAGCAGTAATGTAAAATAGTATTTGTGGTAAGTTTTTGAGGAAATACTGGAAATAGATGTAATCGACGGTGCTGATTTCAAAAATGATTCTCACTTTTTGTGATTTTCACTTTTTTGTGGTCAAAGGGTGCACTGACAGCCTGTCTGTCGTCTTCAGCGCCAAGAAGAACATTCAGATTTAGAATAAGAGAAACCCATCCTTATTTTCATTGGGAACAAAAGACATCCAAGAATAAACCATTAAAGAATTCATTCATACATGTCTTTGTATAAATCATTATAATTCTTACTTGTTTTTAAACTCAATTAAGAAGTCGTCTAAAGTAATATCATCTGGAAGTTGAAAATCTGAAAAAAGATTGGAAAAACGTGGGATTTCCTTTCCAACTTTATTGCAAGTAGTAATGTAAAATACGATGCATGGGTCCCAGAGAAGTGCATAATATTGGATTCGAACTGACATATTGCCTTGTCGTGCTGAATTAAACCTTTACGGTATCTACGTCTTCGACGTCACTATCTTTTAGAAGGTAGTAATCTCTCATGTTTTATTCTTGAATGTCTTTTTTCCCGATGAGTATAAGGATGAATTTCTCTTATTGTAAATCTGAATGTTATTCCCGGCGCAGAAGGCAAAAAAAAATTCATCAATTTTTACTACTTCCGTGCTTTATTTTTACAAAATTATACTTTCTGGGAGAAAATATTTTCTTTTCTGGGAGAAAATAGCATTTTTTTCAAAATTCTCTTTTCTGGGGAAAAATATTTTCTTTCTGGGAGAAAATATATTTTTTCTGGGAGAAAATAGGAGTTTTTCTATAATGCTCTTTTCTGGGGAAAAATATTTTTAATTCTGGGCGAAAAATATAGACCCTTCATTTTTTATGATTGTAACTTTTTTCTTAAATAGTAGTGTTAAGTAGTAATTTTTGAAAATTTTGGTTGAGCTATCGATTCATAGGTAATTTGGGGTGCTGAATTCGAAAATGACATTCATTTTTTATGATTGTAACTTTTTTCTTAAGTAGTAGTGTTAAGTAGTAATTTTTGAAAATTTTGGTTGAGCTATCGATTCATAGGTAATTTGGGGTGCTGAATTCGAAAATGACATTCATTTTTTATGATTGTAACTTTTTTCTTAAATAGTAGTGTTAAGTAGTAATTTTTGAAAATTTTGGTTGAGCTATCGATTCATAGGTAATTTGACGTGCCGAATTCGAAAATGACATTCATTTTTCACGATTGTTACTTTTTTCTTAAATAGTAGTGTTAGGTAGTAATTTTTGACGCTGCTGTCAAATGTTTAGCTTGGGAGAGCCTGCCTCTAGCCCATCATTGGGCGCGCCAAAAATGGGCGCCAACACAAGTTCGGCAGAAATTATGCTGCTGTCAAATTGTTCTTAAACAGTACTGTAAAGTAGTAACTTTGAGCTTTTTTGAATTGGTAGGTTTTATGGGTGCTTATTCCAGAACGAGATTCATGATGAGTTGTGCTGTAAAGTTGTGATTTCTTATTTTTATTTTTTTATGAATAGTTAAGTGCAAGATATGTGTTATTGTTGATTCAAAAACTGTGTTCAGCTTCTGTAGTTTTTATTTACCTCCAATCTGATGGCAGAAGAATTTCCGCTCAAAAATTTCTGTCAAACCTGGCATAGCGGCAGGCTATCCCAAGCCAAACAATTTGATCGCAGAAAAATTTCTGTCAAACCCCGCCCATTTTGGCGCGCTCGATGAAGGACAGAATTCTCTGAAGTAGACGCCTTCAGAGAAGTGGCAGCAGCTCAGCATGCCGCCAATGTAGATGAAGCTGAAAAAAAAACGGTTTTGGTCTGATTCCAACTTACTTTTTGTCTGGGCTCTTGGAATTCTTCTCCACCAGCTGGTAGACGCCGCTCTCGCAGGCGAGCGGTTGCTTGTATTTGGGGCCGAGGCTTGCCTCCAACTTGTACCAGTACGATGTCCCCTTGTAGTCATATTCGTAAAATGCCCCGAATTGGCCTTCGGCGACCATCCGCTTCACCTCGACATTATCGATAATTCTCTGAAAAAAAGCTCATCATTATAAGGGTGGGCCACTCGAAACTCCCAACCTCTTTTCTAGTATTTCTCCGCCAATAATGCAACAATTTCTATAAAATTTATATCAAATTGAAGCTGAGACACCCAATTTCCTGTCCACCAAATATGGCCCGTCTAACTTCACGGAAGCACCCGTACTGACCTTTTACATTTTCATTCCAAATTTTGGAGCCCGAAATCGGTGAAACTTAGAAAATTTTTGGAATGATTTCCAATTGAGTTTCTTGGAATTGGAAAATGTTCGCGCCTTTGACTAAATAAAACTCCTATTACGCTTTTTCAAAAGTGCAGACACATTTTTTTGTCTTTTTTGCACCGCACCGTGCATGTTGCGCGACGAAATCCATTTTGCACTGTGCAAATTCTTTTCGCACGCCCAAAGTTCGCCGCGACACAGCTGAGAAAAGCTTACGTCGCAGCGATATCCGGTTGCACAGTGCAAAAGGTCAAATGCACCCCGCAAAAAGGAGGTTTGTGCACGGTGCGGCCCACGACAAAATGTGTCTGCACTTTTGAAAAAGCGTAATATAAGCAACAGAAAAAATGATGGCAGTCAACGGAATAGTCAAAATTATTCTGCAAGGCGTTGCTTTCGTGATCTGGGGCGATTTGCACACACGTCGGGTATGGACTAATCAATTCCTGAAAGTTTTAGCTCGCGCTTTGCGGGCGCCGCCGAGATATCGAACGATTTTTGCCGCCGAGAGAGCACGCTAAACGTGGAGAGCGGCCAGAGAGAAAAGCGCTTTTTGGCCATAACTTTGGGAGTTTCGTGCGGAAAATTTTGATTTTTTGTAGAAACATTATCCTTTACGGCTGAAATAGGCATGAAACATTTCGTGCCGAAATTCGGCAAAAAGTCCTAAATTTTCGCCAACTTTCGATCTAAAAATCTCGGTTGTTTCTGCAAAGCGGGAGCTAGGATTCTCGCATATATCTTAGAAAAAAAATATTCTAAATTTGTGCCAAGTTTTATCAAAATTTGAGCGTCGCACTTGGGGTACTTCCCGTGTAAGTTTCACCGATTTCGGGCTCCAAGATTTGGAATGAAAATGTAAAAGGTCAGTACGGGTGCCTCCGTGAAGTAAGACGGGCATATTTGGTGGAAAAGAAATGGGGCGTCTCAGCTTCAATTTGATATAAATTTTATAGAAATTGGTGCATTATTGGCGGAGTAATACTTGAAAAGAGGTTGGGAGTTTCGAGTGGCCCACCCTGCACATCAGATACAAAATTTTTTACTTAAATCGAGAAATCTGATTTGGAGGTTCTATTAGCATTGGTCCATATTGGAAATATCCGAAATATTATCAAAATTCGTCTATACAAAAAAAAAGTTGATGCGATTTGAAAATTTGGGATTAAAACAGGCGTTTTTGGAACTGAAAACAATTGCGATTGTAGGAATTGCGGGTTTTCTTCACCAATCATGCTCATTTAGATCTAATCTATCAATTACCGGGTAAAAAAGACGGTTTTCACAGTGTGCCATAACGTCAGCATGTTATACATGACAATATTCACCACTAAATTTTTTAAGGTTTTGAAGCTGCAAATCATTCTTACAAAAAGTGATATTGATTATAAGATCAAATTAGTTTCAAAACATCCGTTTTTACCCTAAAAAGTTCAAAAATTGAGGAACTGGGTTGTTGTATAGGTCATGTATAATATCGAAATTTGTACCAAAAAAAAGATGATAGGCTTCAAAAAAAGAATTAAAAACTATGTTACTAACTAAAACCGTCGATGGGTCAAAGAAATAATCCGTATGTTTCTCACTTTGCATGTCTGTATCAATTCCGTATTATCCATGATAGTGAGACCATCTTAGGAGGCTATGTCGCCGGCCGGCGCTTTAGCAACGCGGCAACGTCATTCTAGTTTTTATGAAAAGGGGACACCTCAACAAGTCCAAACGAGGTCTGAGCCCAACTACTAGCCCTTTTTTGGATCTTATTTTAATCATGTTGTACATGGTAAAGTTATGAAAACATATGGTGGAGATTCTTTTCCATCTAAAAAGAAATACGTAGCCAACTGAGATACCCTATAATGAATGTGTCCATGCAGTGAGCAGCCTTAGCCGTTGCAAAACCGAAAATTTTTTTGATATACCAAGTTTGATGTATTTCGCCATCGTCTCCAAAACTTGCAGACCAATTCTGCCGAAACTTTCGATATAGAAAGAAAATAACATTATTGATAACTCGTACAAATCAGATTTCTTAATATAAGTTGCGTATTGCCAAAATTGGAATCAGCGTTTTCAAAAATTCCAAATTTTGCAACCTTTTTGTAGGCTTCCCATGAGGTCGCCAGACCCCAAATTAATTTTTTAAAATAGGTAGATGTCTATAAAAAAAAAAAAAAAAAAAAAAAAAGAAAAAATAACTCACCGGTACGAAGAGTTTCTTCCCATTCTTGAGCTTGACTACAGTGCCCTCCGTGCACTTCTTTTCGGTACGCATTTCCATCGCAGTCGAGAAATCATACCGCACGTGGTATGCGCTATGAAGTCTGCAAGAAGCGGAATGGGACGATTGGGAAAAAAGACGATTGGGGAAAAGTACGATTGGGGAAACCGAAAAGTATTATTTTTGGTGCAAATGTCGAAATTAGGATAATCGAATAATCGAAAATCATGTTCTTTTCGAAATGAGCACCCTCGATTATCCTAATTTCGACATTTGCACCAACAAAAAATAATACTTTTCGGTTTCCCCAATCGTACTTTTCCCCAATCGTCTTTTTCCCCAATCGTCCCACCCCGGCTCTTCAAAACTTTATTTACCGATATTGCCTTTTCATGTGTCGTCGAATGAGAAAAATGGCCAGCACTATCAGCAGTAAGAGGAACACCAGCGCCCCGCCAATGCCTCCTCCTATCAGCGCCCAATTCGGGGATTCATCTTGGACCGTCGCAATCGTCACATCCTCGGAACTTCTAAAAAAATATAATTCACAGAAAGCGAGGACCCACGATCTTCCGTTCGGATTGTACAGGTACTTCACGTAGGTGTTGTTGAAATAATCGGCTAACTCAGGACCAGGTGGCTGACATCCTCCCACCGAAAATTTAATAAGAATGTAGTTCTGAAAACAAGAATTAGATTACAAATAAAACAAAAACAATTTTTTGGCGTTACGGCGTCTCGGGTTAGGGACAGCTCAGGTCAACGACATTTCGGGCTAACGATACCACAGCGGACCCAAATTGACTTATAAAAACATATAATGACTTATAATGAAATGATTTTTTTATAAGTCATTATCTGTTCTTATAAGTCATTTTAAATCACTTATATGTTCATATATGATTTTATAAGGGTTCTCTGTGCGCTCTTGTTGAATTGACTTATAATTTCATATATGTTTTTATAAGTCATTTTATTTATACCGCACCGTGCAAAAAAATGAACATTTATTTCAATCAATAACTCAAACAATTAAAGGACCACAAAAGGTATTTTTTGAACCGAAATTTGATCGGCTAAAAAATTGAAAATCAGGGATTTTCGCGTCGAGAAAATTCCGAAGAACAAATGTTCTTGATTTATTTTCGGATAAAAAGATTTTCTGATGTTCTGTTCTCACCGGTGAGGTGCACCTCCTTGTACATTGTTTAGCAATGTAATTCGATAAGAGGAAGCATAGTAGCCGGTTTTGCCGTTTCAATTTGGACTACCACCTGGAGAACAACATTCAGGGCAGCTCGGGTCAACGAAATTTCGCGTTAACGATACGATATCGTTTAATTTTTTCGTTTCGGGACTGGAAAAAAGAATTTTTGTGAAATTTGAACAAAATTTTCAAACGTTTTCGCTCCGGGACAAGAAAAGAAAAAAAAAATTTTTTTTGTGGATAACCGATCTGAACGTTACAATTTTCCTTTACAAAGTAGAGTAAAAATGTTATTTCTGGATTTTTTTAGATAAACTATTCCGCTGATGACTGTTAGGATAGGACGTATCTTATATGTAAACGTGAAAATTTTGTTCAATTTCTCCAAAAAATTCTTTTTTCCAGTACCGAAGCGAAAAATTTAAACGGTATCCACGCCAATTTATTTTCTTCAAAAACTATTTTTGTGGGCTGCGCCCGAGCTTTGTGAAAATGTTGCTTGCCATCTTGACTGGTTTGACTTTGGGTTGGAATTATATTAATAACTGGTGTTGATGGTGGCGGTTTAAAAATTCCGGTACATGAACTGCCGATCTTGTTTGTCATCTCTTTAATTCACCACATATCTTTGTTTTTGCAATTTTTCCGCTTCTTCTGTGAGCTCCCGAACTTTTTTCTCTGAGGAAGTTGCCACGGCCGCGCGTTCACGTTGACCGTTCATTAGAGACGTATGAGTCCTTTTTGGAGTCACGGAAGCATTTGTGATGTTAGTTAGAACGTTATAAATGCGCAAACATCATGAAAATTCAAAATTTACAATTTTTTGCCCTTAGGACCCAAACTTTAAACCCAATTTTCTCAAAAAGTTGACCACCGATTTTCGATTTTTTTACAGAATCTGGAAGCCCTCACAGCCTTCTATGTCATATCTAAAAACCAAACCAATCTTGAGATAAAAACATACCTTATTGGCCGAAATATTGAAATTTCCATTATTTCAATATTTTTCCATCGGTCATCTCAAAAGAATGTTATGAACGAAATAAATTACCTTACTCCAGCGGTAAACATTAAAGATGCCGCCAAATATGGCAGAGATTTATTTTTTTTCTGTCTTGAGTATACATTTTTCGATTTATCTGTTAATCTTCCTTACTTTGTGCAATTTCTGCGATGATTAACTCTTTTTCAGCCATGATACGGTAGTTTTTAAGCGGAGGGAAACAGTTGACCAAACGGGCCAGGGAGACACTTGACACGAATTATTTTTTCGATTTTTTGTAGAAGAAAATAAATTTTGTTCAATTCCTCCAAAAAATTCTTTTTTCCAGTACCGAAGCGAAAAAGTTAAAACACGATTTTTGAGCCACTGAATCAGCCCCCAGTTAGGCCCGGACATAGAAAAAAATGGATTTTGAGTTTTTGATCTTAAATTGACTGTAGGCATCCTATAAACATATGACCAAAATATTTTTGCCTAGTTCTCTCATTAACCTACTGTGATTTACAATTTAATGTTTTTACAGTAATCGACCATTACTAGACAACTAGGCATAGGAAGCGGCTGAAATTGAGAATACTGATGTTTCCGAGCATGCTCGTCATAATAGACACAGAATTTCGGCATACAGGTTACTGTAACATACCGCAATATAGGTTCGGCCGCACAAAATCGGCCATAAAAAATTTGTTTCTGAAAACCCGCAGCTGATTTTTACATATGTTGTTCAGCGTAAAATTCTGCCCTAGAAACATTTAAAAAAAGTTTAAAAAGTCGTGCCCCGATTTTCGTGGTGTAGTGGATTTTGGTCAAGTTTAGTAATCCGAAGGTCGCGGGTTCGATCCCCGTGGAACCAAAATCTGTAAAACCGCACAAAACTTCAAAAAATCGTGTCGAGGGGAATTGATAATATACACGCAGAGTACCAAAAACTGGATCATGGGTTATTCGCAAATTAGAAGGCATTTTTCGGAGTTAAAATTATTATTTTGGTCTTCGCGGATTCTGGCCCAAATTTAGTTAAGCAAAATGGCTAAAAATGATATAATGTACGTTTTCTAGCCATCTGAGTTCAATGGACCCAATTTTTCGGACCTAGGATTACTGTAACATCGCGAAAACGGATTTCGGCCGCTAAAATCGGCCGTAGAACTGTTCATTGCGAGTATACGCAGCTAATTCTTCGATTTTTCGAATCAGCATGAAATTCCACACTAGCGACACTGAAAGTTGACTTTCTCAGTTAAACACTTTTTTCACTGTGGTGAATTACTTTCAAGTTTGAAAATTGTAAATAAAACTACATTAGTTCTTGATTAAGCCAAAAATACTTCATATCTGAATTTAAACGATGGATCCACACATTTATAGACCAAAAACCCAAATTTTTAAATTTTTTTTTTCAACCAAAAAATTTGTATGTAATCTTCAGTGCAAAATTTCTGCGAAATAAAAATGGTCAGCTAAGACATATTATATAATGATTCTGGGGCAAAATTTCATGCTGATTCGAAAAATCGATTACTGTAAAAACATTAAATTGTAAATTACAGTAGGTTAATGAGAGAATTAGACAAAAATATTTCAGTCATATGTTTATTGGATGCCTACGGTCATTTTAAAACAAAAAACTCAAAATCGATTTTTTTTCTATGTCCACGGCTAATTCAGTGACTCAGAAATCGTGTTTTAAACGGTATCGTTAAACCGGAATGTCGTTGACCCGATCTCTTCCCGACCCGAAAAGTCGGGACGCTCTCTTTTTGACTTACTAATGGAAAAAGTAGGACGTTCTTTGAATTCAACTTGAATTTGTCGTCCTTTGCGCACTCCGACGCTTTCCAAACGTGATCCACAGCCCAATTTAATTCTTTGCAGACGTCCTCTCCCTTATTTTTGAAGACAATCTTATCTCCAAACACTGCCAGCTTGCTTTCGCAGTTGAACTGGTCCTGGGTTTCCGTTGAGTAGTCGGCAAGATAGGTTCCATTCAATAGGTATACATCATTTACGTGTGAATTTTCTAGACATCCAATCTTCACCATATTCGATCCCAGCATTTCAAATAAGGCAACGCTTGCCAATGAACAGCGATCAGGATCGAATTTCTTATCAAAAACCGGGCATCCCCTACAAAAAAATATTGTAAAAATAAAGCCCCACTTTTTATCCTTGGATCCAGAAACTCCGGTGAGAAGCTTGTCTTCTTCCAGCGCCAAGTGAAAGCGATAATTTTTCAGGCCTGTTTCTCTGACAACCAAGTCCAGTTTCTCGTCACTGAAAGTAACATTTGATGTTGATAAATCTTTCTCAAGTTTAAAGCGCGCACCCCAAATGCGTCACATTTTAATCCCTCAGAACGTCAGCTCCGAATCTACCAGCGAAGCAAAGATACAGTGGCGGACCTAATCCTGTGGCAAAAAACGTACCATTTTGCATCCGGGAAGTCTCAAAAACAAACACCAAAGTACAACATAAAAGAACTCACAATATAGGTCCGATTAACGCTCGATACTTCCGATATGACTATTTTGTCGTCAAAAATGCTTTTGCGGAACTGGATAAACGTACGGGAAGGCGGTATGTTCTTCTTCCAGCATACGCAAAGCTCAGATACAAACCAGCAAAGGCGGATAAGTATAACACGTCCAGCAATATGAAAAAATTCTAATCTAAATAATGTACCAAAGGGTGTGGAGATTGATTTCCGAGTTCAGATTGCATCCGACAAATGCGATGGATCGTCAAAAATTTATGTAATTTTGATTATTCTTATTGGTTTGATGTTTAGGTGGAATTAAAGAAGATTTGATGAATTTCAATTTAGTAGTGGTCTGTTGTAGCAAGATCAAAGCCCTGTTAGTCTTGTAAACCCCGGAAGAGCTCGAATTCGGTCAGGTTCATCGATTTTGATCCAATTGTGCCTAGTACAATGTAATTTCTTTTCTCTTCTTCGATCAATCTGAGAAGTTCGGGGTGCACCTCCTAGAATCCTTTCGATGCTTTCTCGCCGGTTTCACACGTAAATTGTTGTTTATTAGAATTTTGCAAAGATTTTTATTATTTATTTGTAACGGTTTCAGCGTATGAAATGTCGAAAACATTTTCCCGCGAATTTCTCTATTTCCACTTTTTTCGTGGCGTGCCAATCGTCGTCTTGGATCAGCGCAAGAAATTTTTATGCGAAATTTTCGATTTTTGCGTAAAAATCGAAAAGATTCGATTTTTATGCAAATTTTGCACTATGAAGATTGAAATCTAAATTGGTCCCTCCATTCTTTTCTCTCTCTCGCCTCTCCGTGCGGCGGTTCCGGCATGAGTTCTCCTTCGACAGCGGAGTTCTACTCCTCGATAACAACCTTTCTGCAGTGTCTCAACTTGACCACGAAATTTGAGGGTCAAGTCCCGAACGAGTTCCAGATAATAACCCATGCAAAAGATAATGATGGAGGGTTTATTCGATACACGTACAATCCGTCCGAGAAAAATGTGACGTAAGTGGGACGCGGGTGCAAAATTTCAATTTTATGTGCTAGAATTCATCTAGTAAGTAGGTTACCCTAATTTTGTGCAGTTTTTAAGTCCGAGGGGGAGGTATTTTGCTGCGCTTTTGAGACTTCCCGGATGCAAAATGGTACGTTTTTTGCCACAGGATTAGGTCCGCCACTGTATCTTTGCTTCGCTGGTAGATTCGGAGCTGACGTTCTGAGGGATTAAAATGTGACGCATTTGGGGTGCGCGCTTTAAACTTGAGAAAGATTTATCAACATCAAATGTTACTTTCAGTGACGAGAAACTGGACTTGGTTGTCAGAGAAACAGGCCTGAAAAATTATCGCTTTCACTTGGCGCTGGAAGAAGACAAGCTTCTCACCGGAGTTTCTGGATCCAAGGATAAAAAGTGGGGCTTTATTTTTACAATATTTTTTTGTAGGGGATGCCCGGTTTTTGATAAGAAATTCGATCCTGATCGCTGTTCATTGGCAAGCGTTGCCTTATTTGAAATGCTGGGATCGAATATGGTGAAGATTGGATGTCTAGAAAATTCACACGTAAATGATGTATACCTATTGAATGGAACCTATCTTGGCGACTACTCAACGGAAACCCAGGACCAGTTCAACTGCGAAAGCAAGCTGGCAGTGTTTGGAGATAAGATTGTCTTCGAAAATAAGGGAGAGGACGTCTGCAAAGAATTAAATTGGGCTGTGGATCACGTTTGGAAAGCGTCGGAGTGCGAAAAGGACGACAAATTCAAGTTGAATTCAAAGAACGTCCTACTTTTTCCATTAGTAAGTCAAAAAGAGAGCGTCCCGACTTTTCGGGTCGGGAAGAGATCGGGTCAACGACATTCCGGTTTAACGATACCGTTTAACTTTTTCGCTTCGGTACTGGAAAAAAGAATTTTTTGGAGAAATTGAACAAAATTTTCACGTTTACATACAGGGTGGGCCACTCGAAGCTGACAAGTTGTTTCTTTGAATTTCTCCGCGGAGACTCCGCCGATTTTTCTAAAATTCAGATTTTTCTGGAGCTGAGACCCGCCATTTTCAATCGACTGAATTTCAAAAAAAATATATTTTGAATTGACCTTTCCATGCCTTCTCAAAGCTTTGAAAAATTATTTGCAGGCCGAAACCGCTAAAACTTAGAAAATTTTTGGAATGATTTTGCAAGCTTGGTCATTTTTCCGAGTTCTTGGGTGAAATTTTCTTTGTTTTACCTCAGATAGTTATCAAATATTGTTCCGAAAACAATTTTATTTAACACTCTGATTATTAATGCTTGTTATTAATACTGAGTTATTATGCCCACCTCCTCTAACATCACAAACTTGCAGTGCCTTCGAGAGTCATGCGCAGCTAGAATTGCGTATCGTGGATATGGTTTTTAAAGTTAAAACTTCAATCAGGCCTTCGAGTGGCCCACGCTGTATAAGATACGTTCTATCCTAACAGTCATCAGCGGAATAGTTTATCTAAAAAAATCCAGAAATAACATTTTTACTCTACTCTGTAAAGGAAAATTGTAACGTTCAGATCGGTTATCCACAAAAAAAATTTTTTTTGTTTTCTTTTCCCGAAGCGAAAACGTTCGCGAGGTTTTCCGAGTTGCGCCCGACGTAATTGGAATTGCGCACCGATAGTTATACGAATATGGCTTTTACCGTTTATTATGGAACATTTAAAATAAATACACATACATACACTTTTAAATATATAAAGTTATGCCATACAACTCGGTCTGGAACAATTCGGACAGTTTTTGGACGTCTTCTGAGCAGAATCTTGCTTTAGTCGGTTAGTGCAAATTAGGGGGCGATAAGAACGTCCTTTTAGCTACAACTAGTCAAAAAGCCTTGGAACGAATCATAGATTCTATTTTCTATCAACAGTTTTTTAAGGCAAAACCAAGGCGATTTTGAGGTAAATCACAAAGCTCTTACTGTTATATATAACTAGAACGACCGATTAATCCAATAGAGCCAAGCCCCTAATCATAAATCCACTTTTACTTGCTTCCGCATGATTATTACCTAACAAGGAAAGTACTTCTATGGGGTGTGGAATTACCGGTCGAGATATATATCAAAAAATTCGCAAAAATTTTCTGATTCAGAATATGGTGTGGGCCACTAAAACGTTCCGTCCTCGTTTTTTAGATTTCTCCGCGGATACTCCGCCGACCGTCATGAAATTTGGATTTTTCTGGAGCTGAGATGCGCCATTTTCAACCGGTTGAATTTGAAAAAAAAATATCCTGAATTGACCTTTCTATGCCTTTCCAAAGTTTTTGAAAATTATTTTCGAGCCGAAACCGCTAAAACTTAGAAAATTTTTGGAATGATTTTGAAAATTTGGTAATTTTTTCGGGTTTTTGGGTGAAATCTTACTCGTTTTGCCTCATATATTTGCAAAATACTGTTGTAAAAACTAATTTATTTAACAATTTGATTATTAATATTTCTGTCTGAGTTCAACGTGTCCACCTCCTCTTGCAGCACGAACTTGTAGGGGCTTTGAAAGTTAAGAACAGCTCGAAGTGCGGATCGTGACCATGGTTTAACTTCAATCGAGCCTGTCTCCAAGCCTCGATGAGCCAATACCTGGCTTGTAGCCTTAATGTGGATTTTTTCACTCTTGTTGAAAAAAAAAATTTTTTTCAACATTCGTACCCTAAGGGTAATACAGACAACACTTTTTTTTGCTTTTAACTTGCTTTAATCAAAGTTTAGAGAAAGCGTACGGAACTTTTTACTCCACGATTTTACCAAAAAAGCCCGAAATTTTCCAAGTCCGAGAAAGGCAATTGAAAATCATTCCAAAAATTTTCAAAGTTTTAGCGGTTTCGGCTCGAAAATAATTTTCAAAAACTTTGGGAAGGCATATTAAAGTCAATTCAGAATATTTTTTCCTGAAGTTCAATGGGTTGAAAATGGCGAATCTCAGCTCCAGAAAGACCTAAATTTCATGAAAATCGGCGGAGTCTCCGCGGAGAAATCTAAAAAAAGAGGACGGAAGGTTTTAGTGGCCCACCCTGTATATAAATTAGCTGCCTAATTTTGGTCTATCAGCGAGTTTTTTCAATAAATGTTTTTCTCGAGGAAAAAAATCTGCGGCAACAAAAGCGCGCTTGGTCTCTTCCTTCGGAAGAGAGCGGTGTGGCCGAGTGGTTAGAGCGCTGGGTTGGAAATCCGAGGGAAACGGGTTCGATTCTTTTTGCCACACTAGAACCCATTTTTTACATTGGAACTACTTTTAAGGTGTAGTTGTAATCCAATTTGATATTTTAAGGCTTGTCATGGCCTCAGAATTTAGTTTAGCATAAAACAAATTTTTTTTATTGGTAAAAACACGGTCAAAAAGACACTTGCATGGTGTCGCGAGAAAACTTCTGAGGACAAAAACATGCCATTAGACCAAAATTAGGCAGCTAATTTATATATATTCTGAATCAGAAAATTTTTGCGAATTTTTTGATATATATCTCGACCGGTAATTCCACACCCCATAGAAGTACTTTCCTTGTAAAATAGGAAAAACGTAAAGCAACTCAATTCTTCTATCCGAAATTGAAGTCGTAGTAAACACCTTACGTCTTTCCAACGTTTTGCAACGTTTTGCACGACCTTTCGGTGCCTTACTGCTTCTTTATGCTTGATTCTTCTGAAAAACCCAAGTGTAACATAACGTAACTGACAGAAATTTTAAAAATTTGACAGTATCTTTTCCCGATTTTTTCCCAAAACATGCTCATATGTCTACTGAAGAATCCTACGCAGAAATGTCCAGCTCCCTGTTAATTTACAGAAGATAACTTACTTTTACTGGGACCTCCTCGTTATCATTTGATGTCGTGCGTGAACATTCAGGCTCCATATTACCTAAAATTTATCCTAAATCAAATAGTAATGCTTAAAAATAATTTTAGAAGTCAAAACATCATGAAAACAACATGATGCACTAAAGAATACAACATTGTTTTACTTGCAATATCTATAACAATACAATGTTTGAGAAGAATAAGCTGAACCTAGTGTTAGGTATTAAAAATGCTGAAACAAAAAAAATCTACATTGAATTCCCTAAACTTCATAGGAAGAAAAAAAATTTTTTTTTTGACTTTTTTTATGTGTAAACAAATTGGCGTGCGTAGCGCCAAAAAATTGTTTTTGTTTTATTTGCAATCTTATTCTTGTTTTCAGAACTACATTCTTATTAAATTTCCGGTGGGAGGATGTAAGCCACCTGGTCCTGAGTTAGCCGATTATTTCAACAACACCTACGTGAAGTACCTGTACAATCCGAACGGAAGATCGTGGGTCCTCGCTTTCTGTGAATTATATTTTTTTAGAAGTTCCGAGGATGTGACGATTGCGACGGTCCTAGATGAATCCCCGAATTGGGCGCTGATAGGAGGAGGCATTGGCGGGGCGCTGGTGTTCCTCTTACTGCTGATAGTGCTGGCCATTTTTCTCATTCGACGACACATGAAAAGGCAATATCGGTAAGTAACCCTTTGATAAAGCCTCCGCCGAATCCTCCGCCGGGGAAAAAAGCACGAAATTTTTGCCATCTGTGCATCGGATGACAACAAAAAATCACCCCAAACTCTTTTCCAACATGAATTGCAACAGCCGAAGGCCTAAAACAACGTCCGCCGAAATCTGAAGTCTCCGCCGCGCCTCCGCGGTGCGCGTAAAATCGAAAACAAAAAAATGCATACCGTAAAATCGACGGAGGTGTAACGTAAACTTGATTTCAACCGTTGCAACGGCGTTTCCGCCACGTAATACGCTGTGATTTTTAAAAAAGGCCCTAATTTTCTCCGCCGAGAAATGGGCCCTCCGCCGACGAAAAAAAATTTTTTGAGATTCTAAAAACGCACGCTGTCAATTTTTAGAAGCAAAAAGAAATTCGTTGATAGCTGCAAAGAACACAAAGATATAAGCAAATCATTTGTTCCAAATTTCTTGAAACACCCTGTATATGACTTATTGCAGACGTCATAGCGCATTCCATGTGCGCTATGATTTCTCCATTGCTATGGAAATGCGTACCGAAAAGAAGTGCACGGAGGGCACTGTAGTCAAGCTCAAGAATGGGAAGAAACTCTTCGTACCGGTGAGTTATTTTTTCTTTTTTTTTTTTTTTTTTTTTTTTTTATAGACATCTACCTATTTTTAAAAATTAATTTGGGGTCTGGCGACCTCATGGGAAGCCTACAAAAAGGTTGCAAAATTTGTAATTTTTGAAAACGCTGATTCGAATTTTGCCAATACGCAACTTATAAAATCTGATTTGTAGGAGTTATCAATAATGTTATTTTCTTTCTATATGAAAAGTTTCGGCAGAATTGGTCTGCAAGTTTTGGAGACGATGGCGAAATACATCAAACTTGGTATATCAAAAAAATTTTCGGTTTTGCAACGGCTAAGGCTGCTCACTGCATGGACACATTCATTATAGGGTATCTCAGTTTATAAAACCTTTCAGAGTCCATAATGCCAAATTAAAAGACATTTTGCCATCAATTTAGCATGAATAACATACGTCTTCACATGTTCATATTTGGGTTTGCTGCATCGGTAATCTATGTTTCGAAACCGTAGTAACGTCCTTTCGTTGGCTACGTATTTCTTTTTAGATGGAAAAGAATCTCCACCATATGTTTTCATAACTTTACCATGTACAACATGATTAAAATAAGATCCAAAAAAGGGCTAGTAGTTGGGCTCAGACCTCGTTTGGACTTGTTGAGGTGTCCCCTTTTCATAAAAACTAGAATGACGTTGCCGCGTTGCTAAAGCGCCGGCCGGCGACATAGCCTCCTAAGATGGTCTCACTATCATGGATAATACGGAATTGATACAGACATGCAAAGTGAGAAACATACGGATTATTTCTTTGACCCATCGACGGTTTTAGTTAGTAACATAGTTTTTAATTCTTTTTTTGAAGCCTATCATCCTTTTTTTGGTACAAATTTCGATATTATACATGACCTATACAACAACCCAGTTCCTCAATTTTTGAACTTTTTAGGGTAAAAACGGATGTTTTGAAACTAATTTGATCTTATAATCAATATCACTTTTTGTAAGAATGATTTGCAGCTTCAAAATCTTAAAAAATTTAGTGGTGAATATTGTCATGTATAACATGCTGACGTTATGGCACACTGTGAAAACCGTCTTTTTTACCCGGTAATTGATAGATTAGATCTAAATGAGCATGATTGGTGAAGAAAACCCGCAATTCCTACAATCGCAATTGTTTTCAGTTCCAAAAACGCCTGTTTTAATCCCAAATTTTCAAATCGCATCAACTTTTTTTTTGTATAGACGAATTTTGATAATGTTTCGGATATTTCCAATATGGACCAATGCTAATAGAACCTCCAAATCAGATTTCTCGATTTAAGTAAAAAATTTTGTATCTGATGTGCAGGGTGGGCCACTCGAAACTCCCAACCTCTTTTCAAGTATTACTCCGCCAATAATGCACCAATTTCTATAAAATTTATATCAAATTGAAGCTGAGACGCCCCATTTCTTTTCCACCAAATATGCCCGTCTTACTTCACGGAGGCACCCGTACTGACCTTTTACATTTTCATTCCAAATCTTGGAGCCCGAAATCGGTGAAACTTACACGGGAAGTACCCCAAGTGCGACGCTCAAATTTTGATAAAACTTGGCACAAATTTAGAATATTTTTTTTCTAAGATATATGCGAGAATCCTAGCTCCCGCTTTGCAGAAACAACCGAGATTTTTAGATCGAAAGTTGGCGAAAATTTAGGACTTTTTGCCGAATTTCGGCACGAAATGTTTCATGCCTATTTCAGCCGTAAAGGATAATGTTTCTACAAAAAATCAAAATTTTCCGCACGAAACTCCCAAAGTTATGGCCAAAAAGCGCTTTTCTCTCTGGCCGCTCTCCACGTTTAGCGTGCTCTCTCGGCGGCAAAAATAGTTCGATATCTCGGCGGCGCCCGCAAAGCGCGAGCTAAAACTTTCAGGAATTGATTAGTCCATACCCGACGTGTGTGCAAATCGCCCCAGATCACGAAAGCAACGCCTTGCAGAATAATTTTGACTATTCCGTTGACTGCCATCATTTTTTCTGTTGCTTATATTACGCTTTTTCAAAAGTGCAGACACATTTTGTCGTGGGCCGCACCGTGCACAAACCTCCTTTTTGCGGGGTGCATTTGACCTTTTGCACTGTGCAACCGGATATCGCTGCGACGTAAGCTTTTCTCAGCTGTGTCGCTGCGAACTTTGGGCGTGCGAAAAGAATTTGCACAGTGCAAAATGGATTTCGTCGCGCAACATGCACGGTGCGGTGCAAAAAAGACAAAAAAATGTGTCTGCACTTTTGAAAAAGCGTAATAGGAGTTTTATTTAGTCAAAGGCGCGAACATTTTCCAATTCCAAGAAACTCAATTGGAAATCATTCCAAAAATTTTCTAAGTTTCACCGATTTCGGGCTCCAAAATTTGGAATGAAAATGTAAAAGGTCAGTACGGGTGCTTCCGTGAAGTTAGACGGGCCATATTTGGTGGACAGGAAATTGGGTGTCTCAGCTTCAATTTGATATAAATTTTATAGAAATTGTTGCATTATTGGCGGAGAAATACTAGAAAAGAGGTTGGGAGTTTCGAGTGGCCCACCCTTATAATGATGAGCTTTTTTTCAGAGAATTATCGATAATGTCGAGGTGAAGCGGATGGTCGCCGAAGGCCAATTCGGGGCATTTTACGAATATGACTACAAGGGGACATCGTACTGGTACAAGTTGGAGGCAAGCCTCGGCCCCAAATACAAGCAACCGCTCGCCTGCGAGAGCGGCGTCTACCAGCTGGTGGAGAAGAATTCCAAAAGCCCAGACAAAAAGTAAGTTGGAATCAGACCAAAACCTTTTTTTTTCAGCTTCATCTACATTGGCGGCATGCTGAGCTGCTGCCACTTCTCTGAGGGCGTCTACTGCATGCGGGTCGAAAATTATGGCCCAAGCGTTCGCGAGATGCGCCAAGGACAACTCATGGCTCCGTTCGAGGCGCAAAAACTCTTCTTCCAGTTGCTTTACTGCACCAAAGCGCTGATCAGGTACGGGATTTGCCATCGGTACATCAAGGAGAGCGCATTCTACGTCAAGAAAGACCGGGATACGTATCGGGTGAGTGCATGTTGAGTTTGTATTTTCCCTAAAACCTAGCCAAGGATTTTAAACAGTTTTAAAGGGTAGTAAAACAGCATATAGGTCAAAAAGGTTTAATTTAATATCTATCCATCAATTCTGCAAAGCATTTTTGCTTTATTTTTCTGGTTTAGTAATAAATTTTTTTTACCATATATTTTTTTTATCACCGGGCCCGGCCGCCCATTTATTTGACACAAATGGGGCAATTTTCATGGCTTCAATATCGATTTCTTGATATAAAAATATGATAGAGATTTTACAACACTATGTTCCTTGGCGCAAATTTTATTTTCTTGCAGTTTGTCATTACTGACCTCGGATATGCAATCAGAATCGGCTCGGAACGCTCGGCGTTCTATCCAATCCCCGAAACGGCAACCACTCACATCCACGCGAAGAAGGCGTTGAAGTCGGAGGACACGGAGAGCCTTCTCTACATGGTATTGGGCATGATGGCTCCTCTGCCTTGGGCGGGAATGAAAAAAATTGAGGAAGTCACGAAGGTCAAGTTAGAGTGTACCGACGAGAACGCGATCCCCGAAGAATTCTACGACATCAAGGAGGCTGCGACCTTGTGTCTCATGAGGGGCCTCTACACGGATGACCTGGAGATGGAAAACGTGGCCGCGGGCCTCATCAGCTATTACTTCACGGTATGTGGAATTTAATTTTTTTACCTGCGAATTGGTTTTTAAGCGCATTTTATATTTTGAAAAACTTTCAGATCGTATCGTCGGACGAGCTCCATTCTCCTGTGCGTTTTCCAAATCGTGATGCCAAGTTGGTGGGCACGTTCAAGTCGTATGATGAATACTAGAAAGACCCGAAAACATTCCATTTTTTTGTAAGAAAATTAAAATAAATATTTTTAAGTGCGTTTTTGTTTGATCGGCCATCTAAAGTCAGTATTCCATGTCGTCCCCATCTTGATTACTTTTACTGAAATTAAAAAAAAACTTAAGAAACGACGTATTTTATCCTCGACAGAAGCAGTACCAAGCGGCATGGAGAAGGCCGGGAATGCTAAAAAATGACGTCATTATTAAATAAAATCAAGCCCAAAAAACTTACCGAAAAAGAGCGTCAAGAGGAGATTCACACAAACATGCCATGAGCATCCATTCCCATCAACATTGTCCTTCCAGAAAACGGCGATTGGCTGAAAAGACGGGATCTTTTGGAAGTAAAATATGAATTTCCCATTAGATATTAAAAAAATAGAGTTTTTTCTTGATTTTTTGATGAAATCGCGATTTTAAAGTGATATTCTTACATAAAAAATTACTTGATCCATTACATAAAAAGAGAATTTATCGAAAAAATCCCTTTTTTGGCTCAAAATCGTAAAAAAAGTATTATTTTATGTTTAAAAATCCCGTCAAATTTGCTCCATTGGCATTATGTTTCAAGCACCGAAATTTCGACAGTTTTTCGGTAAATTTGGCAGCTTCATGTCGACCAATCGACATTGACTTTCAACATTTGTTTTGAGTTTCCAAAACTCTTTCTTTCGGATTTTCACCCACTCGGTTGTTGATCACCATTCCGCTCCTCCAAAATGGCGTTTGGACCGAAAAAAGATCGGGTAAGAATGGGTAATATCACACTAGAGGTGGCTTCTGGCATTTTCACAAAGCCTCTCATAGCAATTCCGACCTTTATTTTTGAGAATCTTCCAAAATTACGTTATTTTAGGTACTTTTTTAATCATGGATAATATAGCTGTTAAAATTGGAGATGGTTGGTTTAGTATGGTTCTGTTAGGTGATTTGAACCCATTTTTCTTTCATACTGCCGTTTATTTTACTGAATTAGCTTTGAATCCTGAAAATTGGTCGAAATTTTTCAGACCTTTACTACAATATAATTTTCTCTTTTTTTTCAGCCACATTATTATCACAAGAAGCCTGAGATTCCCAGGGGCCTTGATGCACCGCCATATCTGAAAGATGGAGAGATGCTGGACGGCCGATATAAGATCGACACTATCTTGGGAAGAGGAGGGTTTGGGCAGGTCTTTCAGGCCAAAGATATGGTAAGAACTTGTTGTTTTGTTGGATTTTAGATAGTCAAGGTACAAGCAATGATACTACAGGGATTTTGAAGGTTTTATATTGAAGATTTACTTGAGAATAAGCTAGAATTAACATTTTTTATCTAATTGATCATGAATAATATAATTTGTTCGGAAAAATAAAAAATATCGAAATGTTTATAGGCAATTCAGGTCCGCAACAGCTAGTGTATTGTTTGCCTTTGATTTTATGCTGTGTTGCCTAATATTATATGTATTTTAGGTAACCAAGCAGTACGTTGCGGTTAAAGTTGAACCTCGCGATCGACATTCACAAATAAACACAGAAAGAATGGTGCTGTTGGACCTGACGTCTTGCAAACATGTTCCGAACCTCGTAAGTTATGTTTGTTTTTCATTTTTCTGGCTTTAGATCGACAGTGGCTACACCAACGAGCTTTGTTTCCTGGTCCTACCCGTCTACTCGGACAATTTGTTCGAGTTGCGCAAGTTCGCGCCAGATCTTCGATTCCCGGTGAAGTTTGCGTTGGGTGTGTTCTATCAGCTGGTGGAGACGCTGCAAGAAATCCACACGCTCGGCTATATGCATCGGGATATCAAACCATCGAACATTTGTCTTGGCCGTCTACCAGATGAAAGAACAAAGGTTTTTTTGATTGATTTTGGAATGTCCAGGAGGTTTCGAACACTGGATGGGAAATTAATCGAGAGAAGAGATAATGTCCCGTTCAGAGGTGGGGATTTTTTGGGGAATTTCTTTGCTTTTTGACAACTTTTACCTTGATTTAGGTATGTTATCCATGATTTTTTGTTTCATTTTAGGAACTTCTCGTTATTGCTCCAAGCGCGTCCATCTCCGCTACGATCAAGGACCTTGTGACGACATGTGCTCACTGCTGTTCGGTGTTGTCGAAATGATGGAGGGCGACTTGCCCTGGAAGGGCGACGAAAATGACCGAATGCTCGCCACAATCAAGGCAAAACCCATTTTTAAGTTTGACAAATTCACGAAATTCACCCCGATTCCGTTGTTCCACATTGCCCACTACATTCAGCAATGCACCTACGAACATGAACTGCGCTACGACATCATCAAGAGGCATATTAATGTAGGTGTTTTGAATTTTTTTTTGGAATTTTAGGAATTCATGACGTGGAAATTAGAAGTGGGGTGTGTTCATGATGCTGGTAATTGAATTTTTCTTCAGGAAGCCCTCCGATGGCTGCTGGAGAACGAAGATATTGATTTAGAGGAGAGGGAAAGACAGGTCGCAGAATTCATCGAGGACCATGTTCTACAGGATAGGAAGAAGGTGGTGAGTGTGGAAGATAGTTCCCCACCATTCCCCGCCACCCAGGCCAGCATTCATGCCTCGATTATGGGAGTTTCGTCCAAGGCGTCCATCATTCAACGACAAGAGAACCGAAAAGTCGAATATGATTGGGTGAAACCGGCCTCAAGAGACGTTCGGAGGAACACTAGGGACGATTCGTTTTATGTTCAGACGGTTAGACACGAATTGGACGAAGCAAGAAGAAATTTCGTCATGGGGAATATCAGCGATCAGAAAATGGTCAGCCCCGTTCAGCAGGAGGTGAAAGCGTGCAGAAACGGGTCTGCAATGGATGTGGAAAGCTGTAAAATGGGCCGGAATGGCCATGGCGACCAACATCGACAAGGGAGAGATCGGTTTTTACCGCAAGGTATGAGGTTGGTCATGGATAATATAAATTGTTAAAAATTCGTATTTTTTTTAACTGTGACGGTTGTGATTGGGAAAAAAGGGACTTTCTACAAAAAAATTACCAATTTTTGACAATTTATATTTTTCATGAGGAACTGGGACGATTGGGGAAACCGAAAGTATTACTTTTCTTCGATCCAAGTGTGAAAATAGGATAATCGAGGGTGCTGATTTCGAAAATGACATTCATTTTTTTTTGGATATTTACTTTTTTCCTTAAGTAGTACTGTAAAGTAGGAAATTTTTGAACTTTTTTTTTATAAATACTCGATTTGGGGGGCTGATTTCGAAAATCTTACTCATTTCTTCTGATTTGAAAGCAGCACCACCGAAAACCCCAAATCGAGTATTCATGAAAAAGTGTTAAAAACTACTACTTTACAGTACTACTTAAGGGAAAAAGTAAATATCACAAGGAAGGTACTTCTATGGGGTATGGAGTTACAGGTCGAGACATATCAAAAAATTCCCAAAATTTTTCTGGTTCAAAATATGAAAAAATTCGCTGTCTAATTTTGGTTTGTAAGGGTGAACAAATCCTCTGAACTTTTCTTCTTCTTCCAGCGCCACGAAAATGTCTTTTTGACCAGGTTCTTATCAAATCAAGAGCTTGTTTTTGAGCTAAAGTAAACCCTGGTATCTTGACAAGCCTTAAAATATCAAATTTGATTCGCAAATGCCCCTTTTTTATATTGGAACTACTAATTAAGGTGTAGTATTCATCAAATTTGATATTTTAAGCCTTGTCAAGATACCTGGGTTTACCTTAGCTCAAAAACAAGCTCTTGATTTGTTAAAAACCTGGTCAAAAAGGCATTTTCCTGGTGCTGGAGGATGAAGAAAAGTCCCGAGGACCAATGTTGAGCATCGAACTTACATTCTCACGATTTTGAACTTCTTTTGAAATTTGCATAATCGAAGCTTGGAATCGTGGGAATTTCGAATTTTCAGAACAAATTCGACTAAAATTCGACTTTTATGCAAATTTTCCACTAAGAAGATTGAAATCTAAATTGGTCCCTTCATTCTTTTCACACTCTCGCCTCTCCGTGCGGCGCTTCCCACCGACGAAAAATCGATTGCGGACGAGTTTCCACGGGCTGTAACGACGTGTCTCCTGACGGATCTCTACACTGATGACTTGGCAATGGAAAACGTGACCGCCGCCATTATCAGATACGACCTTATGGTAAGTGGAATTTAACTTTTTTTCTACCTGCGAATTGGTTTTTAAGCGCATTTTATAATTTGAAAAACTTTCAGACTCCACCGATGGACGAGCTCCACCTTCATGTTCGTTTTCCAAATGCTGATGTAAATTGGTGGGCACGTTCAGGTCGTATGACTAGGAAGACCCGAGAACGTTGTATTTTTTTGTAAGAAAAGTCAAATAAATATTTTTATATGTGATTTAAATCGAAAAGATTCGATTTTTATGCAAATTTTGCACTATGAAGATTGAAATCTAAATTGGTCCCTCCATTCTTTTCTCTCTCTCGCCTCTCCGTGCGGCGGTTCCGGCATGAGTTCTCCTTCGACAGCGGAGTTCTACTCCTCGATAACAACCTTTCTGCAGTGTCTCAACTTGACCACGAAATTTGAGGGCCAAGTCCCGAACGAGTTCCAGATAATAACCCATGCAAAAGATAATGATGGAGGGTTTATTCGATACACGTACAATCCGTCCGAGAAAAATGTGACGTAAGTGGGACGCGGGTGCAAAATTTCAATTTTATGTGCTAGAATTCATCTAGTAAGTAGGTGACCCTAGCTTTGTGGAGTTTTTAAGTTCGAGAAGGAAGTATTTTGCTGCGTTTTTGAGACTTCCCGGAGGCAAAATGGTACGTTTTTTGCCACCGGATTAGGTTCGCCACTGTATCTTTGCTTCGCTGGTAGATTCGGAGCTGACGTTCTGAGGGATTAAAATGTGACGCATTTGGGGTGCGCGCTATAAACTTGAGAAAGATTTATCAACATCAAATGTTACTTTCAGTGACGAGAAACTGGACTTGGTTGACAACGAGACAGGCCTGGAAAGTTACCGCTTTCACTTGGCGCTGGAACAAGACAAGCTTCTCACCGGAGTTTCTGGATACAAGGCTGCAGAGTGGGGTTTTATTTTTACAATATTTTTTTGTAGTGAATGCCCGGTTTTTGATAAGAAAGTCGCTACTAGAGACTGTTCATTGACAAGCGCTGCCTTATTTGAAATGCTGGGATCGAATATGGTGAAGATTGGATGTGTAAAAGATGCACACGGAAATCATGTATACCAATTGAATGGAACCTATCTTGGCGACTACTCAACGGAAACCCAGGACCAGTTCAACTGCGAAAGCAAGCTGGCAGTGTTTGGAGATAAGATTGTCTTCAAAAATAAGGGAGAGGACGTCTGCAAAGAATTAAATTGGGCTGTGGATCACGTTTGGAAAGCGTCGGAATGCGCAAAGGACGACAAATTCAAGTTGAATTCAAAGAACGTCCTACTTTTTCCATTAGTAAGTGAAAAAGAGAGCGTCCCGACTTTTCGGGTCGGGAAGAGATCGGGTCAACGACATTCCGGTTTAACGATACCGTTTAACTTTTTCGCTTCGGTACTGGAAAAAAGAATTTTTTGGAGAAATTGAACAAAATTTTCACGTTTACATATAAGATACGTCCTATCCTAACAATCATCAACGGAATAGTTTATCTAAAAAAATCCAGAAGTAACATTTTTACTCTACTCTGTAAAGGAAGATTGTAACGTTCAGATCGGTTATCCACAAACAAATTTTTTTTGTTTTCTTTTCCCGGGGCGAAAACGTTTCAAAATTTTGTTCAAATTTCACAAAAATTCTTTTTTCCAGTCCCGAAACGAAAAAATTAAACGATATCGTATCGTTAACGCGAAATGTCGCTGACCGGAGCTGTCCTTGACCCGAGACGCCGTAGCGCCAAAAAATTGTTTTTGTTTATTTGTAATGTAATTCTTGTTTTCAGAACTACATTCTTATTAAATTTTCGGTGGAAGGATGTAAGCCACTTGGTCCTGAGTTAGCCGATTATTTCAACAACACCTATGTGAAGTACCTGTACAATCCGAACGGAAGATCGTGGGTCCTCGCTTTCTGTGAATTATATTTTTTTAGAAGTTCCGAGGATGTGACGATTGCGACGGAATCCCCGAATTGTGCGCTGATAGGAGTAGGCGCTGGCGGGGCGCTAGTGTTCATCTTACTGCTGGTAGTGCTGGCCGTTTTTCTCCTTCAGAAGTTGGAGAATAGGTTGCTTTAGGTGATGAAAGGCATCTCTTGGATATATGTATACTGGCTGACAAAAATTTCTTTCCACCTCGTATCTCGGGAACCACTGGGCCTAGAACTTCCAAATTCGGCATAGAAACATCCTGGGACAATCTAACACCATACCCAAAAAATCATATCATTTGATGCACTTTCAGTGCACTTTTTATGCAAACGGCAAAAACGTGATGACAAAATTTTCTTTCCACTTTGGAAAAACGTTTGTAAATCATAAGCCAGAAGGCGCTAAGGCATGATTGTGGTATCGTTGTGTTCGCAAAGGAGTCCTCTCTTGATCCGTGTCGCAATTTTACAATAGTTTTCGTTTTTTCGCCCTTGGGCGTCTATTCATCATCGCCTTGTCCGTTTTCAGCTAAACTCTTGGCCAGAAAAGCTCGCAGAAGGCCCAAGGAGACGAAACTGCCCTTATTAAACCTGGTATTTATGGTTGCAACATGTTTACTCCGGCAGTAGAATTAGATTTAATTTAAGCGTGTTGCATAGGAAAATGTGCACTTCCAGGGTTCTCGTTACCAGAAAATTACGTTATTACGGGTACCCTGCAGACAATTCAAGTAACTTTTTTTGCTGATATGTTTTCCATGATACAGCCTTAAAAAAACTACAGCCTTAAAAAATAGTGACGATTTTAGTCTCTGATGTCGCGTTTAGGTTTGAGCAGAAGAAAGATTCCGCATGCCCCATGTGCAAAATTTGCAACCCTAAGCTTCCCGCGCAAGCAACTTGTCGTGCCAAAAACGTTAAAGGCAGGACGAAGTCAATGTATTAAGGTAGTCTGGTAGTCAAAAGTTCCAATATGTCAAGCATAAGTAATGCCAATTCCTCCCCGTCATATAATGCAACAACGTGCGTTACTAAAGACGACATAGACCAGAGGGGGGTAAGATAAGGTAGTAGATTTCAACACAGACTGTCGTATAATACCTAAAATGCGCCATATGTCTAGTAAACGCATGTTATTTGGACTTTTCCATTCTGTACATAAGCGGTTTTCTGGTTTCGCGAACCCTGGAAGTGCACATTTTACACTTAAATTGAATCTAATTTTACTGCCGGTGTAAACAATGTTGCAAACATAAATAGCAGACTTTTTAACGGCAGTTTCATCTCCTTGGGCCTTCTGCGAGCTTCTCGGCCACGAATTTGGCAGAAAACGGACAAGGCAACGATGGGCAGACGCCCAAGGGCGAACAAACGAAAGGTCCTGTAAAATTGTGCCACGGATCGAAAGAGGACTTTTTCGCGATCACAACGACACCACAATCATGCCATAGCGCCCTCTGGCTTATAATTTACAAGCGGTGGAAAGAAAATTTTGTCATCACGTTTTTGCCGTTTGCATAAAAAGTGCACTGAAAGTGCATCAACTGATATGATTTTTTGGGTGTGATGTTAGATTGCCCCATAATGTTTCTATGCCGAATTTGGAGGTTCTAGGCCCAACGGTTCCCGAGATACAGGTGGAAAGAAAATTTTGTCAGCCACTGTAAGTGTTTTTTACGTTTTTTTTCGTTCTTTCGAAATTTAGGTGTCGACCATCCGATGAAGAATCGACTCGGAAACGGGATTTTAGTCCAAATTTGGGGAAAAGCCTAGACAATTTTGTTTATGAGACCTTTCTGCAGGTCTCATCAAATTTTCGCTGCTCAATCTATTTTCTCCATTCTGAAAACTTCTTTTTTAGCTAAAATTTTAAGGGATTTGATCTATTTTGACAATATTTGTCACATTTGGAGTCCATAATACATCAATTTGGGTTGGATGCGACTTTTCTGAGCGTAGTTTAGTATTCTCGACGGAATCAGCTCACATATTGTTTCTCTTCTGCCTACACCAAACTTTTATATTAATTTAGGTAACAATTTAATAAAAACGTTTCGATTTTGCTGATTTTACGTTGGGACACGGAACTATTGCGACATAACATCGTTCATAGGTTATGTAACGCTGTGTTAGATGGATTAGAATATCATTAGCAATATTTACTAGCTTTCTTTCGGTGCCTAGTGTAACATTAGTTGAAATTGTCCATAATTGGAGGAAGGGACAATTATATGTTATTATTATGCCAGTATGTTGTTATGCAACACCCTAAAGCCGTATTCTTAGTTCAAGAATGCGCATTCCGACATTGTGCACCACTAAAACAACAAATTACCATTTACGTTGTATAATAGGACCGAAATTTATATCAAACGATTCCAAATTATCTCAGCATCACGTTTACGTCAACAGTTAGTCGATTCGGTGTAAGATACCATATATATACATCAAAAATCGGAATGCCAAAAGTGCCAAAAGCCCACCTCAAAAAATAATTTAAAAAATTCTTTTGTTTTCGTGCCAAGACTCAAAAACTACTTTTCCATTTCTATCAACCATTTCGGTTCGGCGTGCGAGGGCCCAAAACAAAGTCCGCCGAAATCTGAGGTCTCCGCCGCGCCTCCGCGGATGTTGCGTAAAATCGAAAACGCAAAAAAAGCATACCGCAAAATCCACGGAGGTTTAACGTAAACATGATTTTGGCCACTGTAACAGAGTTTCCACGATGTAATAAGGTGTGATTTTTAAAAAAGGCCCCAAATGCCTCCGCCGAGAACTGGCCTCTCCGCCGACGAAAAAAAAATTTTTTTTTTGTTCAGTACAAAACCGCCCGCTGTCAAGTTTTAGAAACAAAAAGAATTTCTGCGATAACTAGCAAGAGCTCAAAAATATTCGCAACTAGTTTCTGCCAAATTTCTTGAAACACCCTGTATATAAAACGGATTGTCATGATCATTGGGGTCATCCATGCCAAATTTCAACTTCCTCTGACGCTCCTGAGTCGTTGAATACGAACTTGAATATGGAACCCAAGTGTACTATTTCTGTTGATTAAAATCACGTTAAGTGCTCCAAAATCACTTTTTGAGCGAAAATATGTTGTATACATACACTCTGTGCCAAGTTTTTGTCATCAGGCCAAGATATATCTTTTTCATTTCGAAAGTTGAATTCAACAGACAATTCTAACCAATGCCAAAGTGTGAGCTTGCAAACACTTACTGAAATTACCCGTAAAGCTGAGTTTGGCCTTTGTAATCGCGACCTAAGATTTATTGCGACCAGAAGTGCTGTAATTAATGCCAGCCAAAGATTTCATTACTGTTTTCTTACAAAGTTGAAGATACGAAGTTTCCATGTTGACGTTCGTATTCAACGACTCAGGAGTGTCAGAGAAAGTTGAAATTTGGCATGGATGACCACAATGATCATGACAATCCTGGCACACTTTCTGCGTGGTCGTAGCTTCAATGATCGGGACCATGTCGAAAACGGGTGCCGCGAGTTTTTCGCCTCTAAGAACAAGGAGTGGTACCGTAGCGGAATCGAACAACTTTCCTATAGACGTGTTCAAGCCGTAGATTCAAATGGCCTTTACTTTGAAACTTAACTGGTTTTCATTTGTTGTAAAATTATGTTCAAAGTTTTAATGAAAAATCGGAAAAAAATTTTGGTTCACCCTAATAGAATACCTTCAATTTTTATTCTGAAGGTGCAAATAAGTAAAAAAAAAGTGCAAAAACCACCAAAATTAGGCCCTTTTGAACCATAACTAAGCTTAAAGGCCCAGGAAAATTATTGAATCTGTCTATGTTGTAGCTCTTGAAATTCTGCAAACGATGGAAGAAAAAAAAATGTGTGCTTAAGGGTTGGAAAATACACGTTTTTTACCTGAAGGTTGAATTTTTGATAATTTTCGATCATCATTTTCTCAACATTAACATAAGGTATGATGATGCAGTTTGTATACGTGGAATGGCAATCTCTTATAGTCTAACAACCACTTTTTATTTTAGTTACATCTATTGTAGCTAGCCAAATATACACCGACTTGTAAGCACTACTTTTCATTTTTTCCTTTTTTCGACACCGATCGGCGGCGGAAAAAATGTTCGGAACGCTGTGCTTCGACGAATATATGAAAAAGCAATATCGGTAAGATTCTTACTTTTTTTCTTAAAGTCCGAGGTTCTCCAAGCCAAGGCGCAAATAAGGAATGTTCCCGCTGTGGGACCCAAAACGGCGGGCCTCCCTCGCGAAAAAATAAAAAAATTATTTTTTTTTGTTAGAGATGGTACAAGGAAGGCGAAAGATGAGTGGAGATCACTGAAAAGGTATGTTTTTTTGTTTTTTCTTATTCAGAGCAGCACGACGCAAAATTTAAGAGTGAAGATATAAGAACGCAAGAGCCATTTTCAAAAAGCACCCTAAATTTGCTCACTTTTTGGCTCGCAGGCGGTTCTTTCATTTTGCTCACCAAAACGGCGAGCAAATCTTTCGCGGCGAGCAAACTTCTAATTTCGCCTGCCGCGGCGAGCAATTTTCTAATTTCGCCTGCCGCGGCAGGCTATGGAAAGACTTGGCTTTGAGCCAATGGAAAGACTTGGCTTTGAGCCAAGTCTTTCCATAGACTTGGCTTTGAGCCAAGTCTTTCCCCTTGGGTGGTTCTTCCTCCCAAAAATTTTTTTGTCAAGATTGATATAAATTTCTTTATGGTGTACTCTACATGCATCGACAGGACAATAACTCCAAAAGTAAGTTAAAACGCACTTCGCGAGTTGCTGAAGCAGGCTCAAACGGGGGCCTGCACAGCATTCCGAGGTTTTTTCCCGCCACCGATCGGTCCCGGTTTTCGCACAAAATGACAACAGGGCTGCGCGCCTCAGCTGATAACTAGTTAGCCCAAAAATGAAAAAGAGTAAAAATTGGTTTTCAGATAGAGTGAAAAAAGACCTATCCAAATACATAAATAGTTTCTATTATCTTTCACTCTGTAACGATTTATATCTCTTACAAAATTTCAAATTTTATTTTTTATTCATGTATAAATGCACTTTATAAGGGCATAATTTGCAAGAAATGGTACCACTCGACAGCACATCGTCTGTTCTATGAAATATCCCAAAATAAGAAAAATTCCGGCCGTTA